CGCCCCCCCTCCCCCAGCCAGGAGCAGGAGCAGCCTCTGGTGGCCTGGATCCCCCAACCCCAACCCTCCCTCTGACCTAGGGCTCCCCCTTGCCTTGCAGGAGCTCAGCCGAGCCCTCAGGACATCCTTGATGCCCTACTGGTGAATCTCCTCATCCAGTCCCCAGACACCGCCAGGCTCCAGCTAATTCTTGAGGTGAGCCCTGTGGGGAGGGGCAGGAGCCATTTTCCCTTCGCTCTCAGGCAGACTGGTCAGGAGAGACTGGAGCTCCATGTCCCAGCCTATCCCCCTAACTCCCCACCCCCCAGGCTGTCCTTGGCCAGGGCAGTCGGAGCAACACAGGGCCAGGCCCTGCCTCCTTGGGGGGCAGAGAGAGGAGCTGGGGCTTCCAGCCAGAGCCCTGCCAAGCACAAACCCTTCTGACTGGCAGGGGGAAGAGTTTGACTCCTCCTCCCATGAGATCCAGGAGTTGGGACTCAGAAGAGCTCCAGGCTTCTTGCTAGTGACACAGGATGGCCCCAGGGATCAGCCCTTCTGTGCCCAGAACCTGCACCTGCCCATGGATCCTGACCTGCCTCTTTCCCCCACAGCACCTCAGAACCTGGCTGGAGTCCTGGCTGCCCCGGGAGCAAACCAGGGCCCTCTGTGGCACCAAGTTCCTGCTCCAAGTTGCCACCACCCTCTCGGTGTTTGACGTAAGTGACCTCGGAGCACAGAGCTGGCTCCCCCAGGCTGTGGGGTCTGGTGCTACAGGACGCTGGGTTGGGAGCGTTCCCCTGGGGAGGCAGAGGCAGAGCAGGGAATGAGCCAGGCTGGATCTACATTCTCCTTTACCTGGGGAGAGGGCGACCCTGGGCCTTTCAAGGGATCATGCTCCAGTTCTTGTGTTGATGCACTTGGGCCTGGGGACTTATTACTGGCCGTTAGTTTATCCACTTGTTCCAAGCCCTCTGTAGTGCCACTTCAGTCAGGGGCAATTCCTCAGGTTTGTCTCCTTACAAGAATGGCCCCCGTTGGCTTTCCCCAGCCCTTAGCTTAAAAACCACTCAGCGGCCATTTGCATGGGATGTGCCAGCCACAGGATACTGAGGGACCCCCCCCCCTCCTCTCCTCCCTCAGAACTCTGTCGACTGGCCCAGAATAGGTCACCATGTGGCCCAGTTGGGCATCTTCATCATGGACCCATCCAGGGATGTCAGTCAGCTGGCCAAGGAGGGAATGCACCTCTTATACCAGCTCCTCCTGTACCACCGGGATAAGGAACCCAGCCAGGAAGTGGGCCCCAGTGACACTCTGAGGGTGCCGGTGGCGGGAGGATGTGACCCAGCCCTTTTCTCCCAGACTGGCCCAACGGGGGATGTTCCCTCTGTGTTCCCATCCTTCTGCTCCCTTTGCCCTTCCATTTGGCATGGGATGCCTGGAGCACACTACCCACTGGGCAGCCACCCATGGGAAGAGAAGGGCTCAGACCTGCCAGCAGAATGACCCTGTTGTGTCTCTTCCAGGCCTCAACATCCACCAGGCTGAGGACCTGTGGTGCAGGCACTGGTACAAGGAGAGGTGGGTCCTGGCGCACAGCAACACCATAATGGTAGGAGAGGTAAGGACACGCTGCCAGGGAGGACACGGCTCAGGGGTGGGGTTGTCTGGGGCTCCTGTGTGCTTAGAACATGAGCTGTGTCCTGGGTGGTGAGAGGGGGCAGAGATGTCAGGGGCCCTGGGTGGGGCAGTAGCTCACCCTACGGGGGCGCAGGGCTGAGAGGGCGGTGACCAGAGAGCATTACAAGTCTCAGCTCTGGGGGGAGAAGGGAGAATCTGTCCCTCTGGTGGGGTGGCTGGGGGTCTGAGTTTCTGTGGGGTTCTCGTTTCCTTGCAGCAGGATGAGCATCAGCTTCCCAACATCCAGCACCTGCACCTGCTGCCCCAGGCCCTGCAGGGGCCAAGACTCTGAGGAGCCAGCAGCTCCTGGCCCCTCTTTTCCGCACTCCTGAATGGAGCTAACATGACTGTGCTGTTAAAGAGCAATTTCAAACACCTGCTGGAGAGTGAAGCTGCAGCGCTTGGCTCCATTGACCAGTCTGACCCCTGGAATGGAGATTTGCACAAAGTCCTGAACCAGACGGGCTGCTCCATTGCACCCCCAATGGCATCAAAAGCCAAGCCTGGGGACGTGGAGCACTGCCAGCCCACTCGATGAGCTTCATTGAGGGGGACTCTCTTGTGGACAATATTTCCCCCCATTTTTCCCCTTCTCTTTCCGACTCCATCCCCTCTCTGTCTCTACTATTGATTGGTGCCCCGGGTCCCTGCACTCCGCTCAGTGGAAGAAGTGGGCTGTGCCCACTAGCGCTCCTGCCACCAGCTACATTTGCTGTGAGTCTCTGAGGTGCCGGGGACTGGTCTTTGGTTTTTAAATTTTGTCACAAGAGGTCAGAGCAGGTTGTTGGAGCTGAGTGGGGCTAATATTGGTCTCTGGTTTCTATAGGAATTAGGGCTGGGCTCCTGTCGCCGGCGGCTAAATTACCTGCCAGAGAAGCAGTGTTTTCAAGCTCCTAAATAGCCCCTGGCTGAAAGTCCCTCCTCCCCCCAACAAAATCTAAACCCTGGGGTTCCGCAAAATGAAAATAAGGGTTCTGAGAGAAAATTCCATTACAATAACATTTTATGATTTAAAAAATAATTAATATTTAAGCATTTATAAATGTTATTGAAAACAATTTTCATTTGTGTTGATCTCATGACCTTGTTTACCTTTTGTTTATTAGGGCTTTCTGAAGCACGGGGACCAGGGCGGCCACCCCGTTCACCCTGCCCTATGTCCGCCCCTGGCTGGGGTCACCTTTCCCTTCAGCTCTCTAGAGGGCCAGATCCTCACTGGTGTAAATCTGCATTGACTCCAGTGAAGCAACACCAGTTCATATGAGTTGGGGATGTGGCCCAGTAGCTCTCACACTCAGTTCTACTGGTTCCCATTTCTTTCACTGAAGAGGATTTGTTGACAGTCTGGGCCAGCTACTGCTCTCGGTTCTATTTCCTCCTACCCTGCTCTGAATTAGCCCAGGATTCCCATGTACTCACTGTGCAGCAAGAGGCACAGAGACAGCAGCATCAGGTCAGTGGAGAGAACCAATTGGGATGGAAACAGCCCAAAAGTGTCTCTTCCCGATGGGTGTCAGCTGGTATCAGATAAGGTATCAGAAGTTGGCTGGTATCAGATAAGGGGTGATTTTATAGTGCTGCAGTTACATCAGGGCACAATTAACAGTTTCACCCAGATCCCACCTGCCCCCTTTGTCCTGTCTGACTTCAGGAGAAGAGACGCTCCAGTGTCGGTCTCTGCTCCAATCTTCCCATGTCTCCCCCACTCCCTCAGGTTGGATATTCAACCAGCTTCTCTCTCGGCTCCCAGGCCTCCTTGGGTCAGTAGAGCTCAGGCAGCAGAGACACCTTCTCTATCCCCTCCTCAGGTCTGATATTCATCACCGCTCCGCTCCGCTTCCTGTCCTACGTCACCCCCCTTCCCTGCACTGGCCACAGCGTCTCTATTTAGGGCTGCAGGATTGAGAACCGAAGAGGCCTGGTTTACATGCTTAAGTCTAAACATACCACTGAGGAAACGCCTCCCATCCCATTTCACTGCCTGGGGACTGAGACAGCCCCTGGCTAACCACTGTTGGGCCAGGGTGAAAGGTCACTGGGTGATTGGGGTGGGACTGGGATGTTGGAGGAGCCTGAACCTTTTGCCTCCACCTTGGTTTCCAGTCCCTGATGAGAAGGATTTGATAGCAGCCTTCAACTTCCTGAAGGGAGGTTCCAAAGAGGATGGAGAAAGGCTGTTCTCAGTAGTGACACATGGCAGAACAAGGAGCAATGGTCTCAAGTTGCGGTGGGAGAGGTCTAGGTTGGATTTTAGGAAAAACTATTTCCCTAGGAGAGTAGTGAAGCACTGGAATGGGTTACCTAGGGAAGTAGTGGAGTCTCCATCCCTAGAGGTGTATAAGTCTTGGCTTGATAAGACTCTGTCTGGGTTGATTTAGTTGGGATTGGTCCTGCCTAGAGCAAGGGACTGGACTTGATGACCTTCTAAGGTCTCTTCCAGCTCTATGGTTCTATGATTCTATGATTCTAAGGACCCATCTTTCCCAGAGGAAAATTCTCTGTCTGGGCTTAAGGGCACATAAATGGGGTCAGGGCCTCATGTGGGACCCTCTGCACAGGGGTGAATGTTGCCCCCAGAGAACAGTTACCACAGGGCTTCCCCACTTGCTTAGTCTTATCCATCCCATCCTCGAATGCCAGCTCCAGCCACTTCTGCCCCTCC